AGCCAGCCATGCTGGCTGGGGAATTCTGGGAGTTGAAGTCCACTCATCTTAAAGTGGCCAGGTTTGGACAACATTGATCTACTCCGACCTCCCCTTGACAACTTGTTCATCATTTACTTCATTACATTCCCTCCACATCCTTTGAAAACTAGCCAGATAACTAAATGAGAATTGAAGAAATGAGGAGAGAGAAGTTCAGATAAATTAGTATCTAAGGCAGTGTTTTTCAATTTTAAGATGTATGGACTTCAACTCCCAGAATTCCCCAGCCAGAATTGAAGTTGACACATCCTAAAGTTGCCAAGGTTGAAAAACACTGATCTAAGGTGAACTCTTGAATGTCACCAAAGGACCACCCATCAAGAAGGAGGCAATGTCTGGACATTTCAGTGGTGCTGGGAATGGGTTACATTTCTGAAAAAAAATCAGACTTTTTGTGGCATGGAAGGGCATGGCCAACACATACATATTGTGTGTATAGCAGATGATGCTGACAGCAATTAATATAGCCAGTACTTTATATGTAAATAGCGTATTCTCATAGCACGATAAAATTGTCATCCAAAAGTATCTCTTAGATGCATAGCCTATTTTCTATCAATAGCTCTAAAGTTAAAAAGAAGTTGGAAGCAAAAAATATTAAAACAATCAACCAAAACTTTAAAACCACAAAATCAGAAAATAAAAATCATATTCATCAAGGGCAGTGTGAATTCTTTTCTGTAAGCCTGGATCTTACAATAAACATTGTGGATGAACTGGGGAGATGTGGGTTACTTAACTTGAACTAAGCAACTTTTTTTCCTTCCCCTGTTGTTAGAGGCTGCACCAAGAAGAAGTCAGAGATAAGAGCTGATGCAGAAGGCAGAGCTCGGGCAGTTATAAAGGAAGACTATGAGAAACTGGGACCAATAAAGTAAGTCACAATGAGAGTTACAAAAACCACAGACAAGAAGATGAAACTATTAGGAGAGAACATGAGATACCAGATAAATGCATTATAATGGTAACATTTCTATAGTCACATTTAAGATCAGATGTGTCTGCGGGTTATGGTCAAAAAAAGTCATGATAGTGATGCATTGGAAGCTCTGCCTATTTTTTATGGGCATCACATATTTAAATACCGATGTTTAAGATCATACATCTAGGTCAGAATTAAGGCCTCTTAGTTCTGCATTTTGTAATAGTGGCCAGAGGCTGATAGACATTTAATTCTAATGTCAGTTCTATCATCTGATAATGGGGATTTTTCATAAATTTCAGATTTCAATATATATCATCAGCTGTACTTTTACAGAGGACCAAGACAAATCACTGTGGTTATAAGATGGTCCATGAAACACATGTTCATCTATGCCTTTTTTTGTTTCTGTTTTAATGACTTCTTTTCATTGGTCAAGAATGTTTAGTAGGGGCCCTGCTTCTGGAGCAGATTTCAGATGGCAGAATCAGTTTGAAACATTGTAGTTGATGATGTGTTTAATTATCTCTACTAAATTATTTAAGTAAAGAGTGAGCTAATTCTTTAATTAGCTAGTCCACTGAGTTTTGAAAATGTGTAGCTCAGGGCACTCAGGAATGATCTTGCAGACCAATAAACGATGTGTTTCATGAATAATCATTTATATAATGATCACAAAAGCTAGAAAACTTCAGCCCGTGTAATTAGAGGGTTTTTGTTTTGTAAATTATTCATGGAGATCATTGCTTGCACTTCTGTATTTAATAAGGTAAAGTTGGCTCATGGATCTTCAGTGGTTGTGTGTTGTACCTCCGTGTATATTCTCAGATACAACAACAAAAGGGGCTGTTTTGTGGACATTTTCAGAAGAAAACAGAAAATGTTTTTAGCTGCTCATTTTCCTCAGATTTTTGTTGTTCTTTTGTTATGCTTTTATCTTTATAAACTTGACTTTTAAAAGCTGCATATAGATATTACATAGATACTACAAAATAAGTTAAGACAAGTTGTTTGAAAAGCTGCTTATAAGATTTCATCATTAGGAGATGGTTATGCAAGAAATTAGTCTCCCACTCAACCATTCAAGTCATTATATACCAGGAACCTGCAAAGTGTCACCGTAAGAATCAAAGGGCTTTTACCATTTTAAGAATATGAAAACTGCATTAAACCAGCCACTGCCAATTTGATTAGAAACTCCAGATTTCTTTCAAATGGCTTCTGTCTCTTGTTTTTTCCTTAAATCTAGTGATGGTTTTCTGCTTTTACTTACTGATTTGGTTTTGATGCTTTGGTTGTTTACCAATGAATCTCCTCTTAAGTGCTCAGTTATGAAATAGCTTTCCATCCTGACCCCTTCCCAACATCCAAATACTGAGATTTTAACTGATTATTAAATTAGATTTTTAGTATATAGTGTTATATTTAATATAAGCACATTAAATATAAATTGTTTTCACATTCCTGGAAAACCATGCACATATGGAACAAAATAATGGCCACCATTCCTGACTCTGACTATTATATGCTACATTCCTGTATGACTCTAGAAACATATTCTCCATGTATACAAAATCTATTTATTCAGGAAAAAAAAAAGTTCACCTTTCAGGGTACTACCATCAATATTTGATGTATAAATCACAAAACATTTGAAAATACAATTTAAACATGCAGACATAGAAATGCACCAAGATGACCTAATTCACCAAATTTATCCATACCTGCCAGTTTATCAGTTCTCACTGTTTGGCCAAAGAATAAGCCCTCCAATCTCATTCTTAAGATATGGGCAGGCTCATACACTGAAGTTTTTAAAGCTAAAAAACATGACTTCAAATTGTGCCTGGAAACAAATAACCAACCAATGTAATCAATACAAGATGGTCTTAGTTCCCACAAACATAATAGTACTGCATTCTGTATCTATTGTAGTCTCTGAACTATCTTCAAGGGCGGTTGCACGCATAACACATGACAGTCATTTATTCAGAATGTAACCAAGGTGTGGAACTCCATGGCAAACATATTCCAGATATAAATATAGGCAACTCTCGTTTTGAGTTGAGCTTCCAGACATATCCATTCATGTTTCTTGGCAATAGTATGGAAATAGGTTGCTGTTGCCTTTTGGAATTGTTTTGATTTTCCAATCTAGTCTAGGGCTATCCTTTTTTCCAGTGGTCACTCATTTAAATACTACCCAGGTCTGGATCTGCTTAGGTTTTCACGATCAGCCATGATCAGCAGCTGCTGCCACCTATGAAACCTTCCAGATATACAGTAGCCATTTCAGACATCAATTCCTCAAATAGAATGAAAGTGTGTGAGGTGAATTCATGTTTGTTTGTACTGATATTCATTCATTTGAATGCCTGAAGATAGCCTGTATCCATGCTTATGTACAACCTGTGACCTATCCATGTAATTGGGAACCTTCGATGTGTCAGCTGTACAGGGAGGGTCTTGAATTCAAGTAAGAAGGTGTACTACTGCTTCATGCTTAAGGCAAGATTAGAGCTCAGATTCCCCCATACCTAGTCCACTAGACCAAACTGGCTCTCATTATATGACATAATTATACCTTATATAACATACTGTATGAGTAACTTCTGGAGTTATATTCATTTTAGAGGTTTCTCCTGCATTTTGTTGCCTTTCATACACAAAACACCTTAAATCATTTGTTCATCTTCATGATCTCTACCATCTGCTACTTCTAGCTGCACTTAAACTTCAAGCAAATGTTTAAAGCAGTGGTTAACTTAATTTTATTCCATAACAGGTTTGCAGAACAGGCAGTATTTGTTCTCTTCTGTTTATTTGCGATCCTGCTATTCTCTAGAGATCCAAAATTCATCACAGGCTGGGCAAGCTTATTCACACCAGGGTAAGCATTTTTTTCTTTTATTTGAACCCGTTCAGGTAGATAGGAGATTTAGGAATGCTGTCTTATGCTGAAAGGAAAATTAGACCAAATGCTCATATATTTCTTGAAAAAGTCATTCTAAACAAATACTTTACACTAATTTTATTGTAAAATATCTGGAAGGTTAATGTAGTTATATGATTATTTGAAATGTGGGAACATCCTTCCAATTCACAAGAATACATAGAAATCTCATACTCTTTTCCTCCAATAATGCTGTTTATAAACTTCATTGGGACTGAATTGTATAATCAACTGATTTCTCAGTTCTCCTCGAAAACTGTATGTATTGCATTTTAAACCCTTTTTCTATAGCTAAGAGAGATAGTATTATGTGATGCCAAATTTTGATCATGCCTTAGTTGAAGTTCCCAAATCTGTCTTCTTCTAGCTATGTCCACTGGAGAAAGATGGAAATTATATCTTATTATAGCAGGAGGGCATCATGTTAGCTAAGGCTAACATATTTCATGTATCAGAGAGAAAGGTCTTATGATTTTCTTTTTTTATCTTCCCTCCCTCCCTTCCATCTTAAAACAAGATAAGCCTTGTTCTTCCACCATTAGAAATATGAAAAAAAGATAATAGTCCTCTTGTAGAGCATTTACTTTACATGGAGATTAAACATGTAATCTGATATAGCCAGTTAAAAGCAAACTTGTTGTCTAGAAGTGTGAAGGACTTTTGCTTAAGGCCCTAGAGCGAAGGTGGACAAACTTCTAAGGACCACATTTAATATTTGCAGGGAGGGTGTTTTAATTTTCCTCATGCACTTGGACAAGGCTAGGATTTGGATGTTCACCTGGCTTTTGGGGAAGCAGTTTTTTCCCCCTCTTGCTCTTTTAAAAGATGTGCTAAGCCTATTTCAGAGGTCTCACTTCATCCCGATGTTGAAACAGCTGCACTTGCTTTCTGAATCCAGTTCAGAAACCTCACTGGTATTCAGAACTTTATATGTCCTACACCACATTACTTTTAGGATCACCTACTACTGTATAGTCCATCCTACTCTTCCAGGTCTTCAACAATGCATCTTCATCAGGTCCGCGCATGGACATATCTGACTCCGAACTTCTTTGGCCTGTAGCTGGTGAAACAGTCTGGTCTCTTCTTTTTGGAATATGATTATTTCACTGGGCTTTTGTTTCCAATAATTGGCCAGCTATCAATAATCACTCAATGATTAAAGACTAGTCTTGATTTTTTTTTTTTAAAAAAGGCTTTCTTCTCATGCGTTCTCCAATTTGTAATTTTAGGTTCCAGTTAATTTTCTAAAGAAGCAACTGAATATTTTAGGGCAGTAAAAATTAATTATAGACAGTATGTGTTCATGAAACCTGATATCAAAACCTAGTCTTATTTAACAAAATCTGATTTACTTCCATTGCTTACATAGAATCCTCTCTCCATTTCTGCTAGGTTTGTCACAGATGCAGTTACTGGAGTCACAATAGTGACAATACTGTTCTTCTTCCCAGCAAAAAAGCCATCTCTTAAATGGTGGTTTGATCTAAAAGGTAAATTGCTGGTCTACCAAAGTTTGTTCTCAGTTCTCATATTCCTGAGTTCTCTCTAGAGTGGATTGTAACACTGGTTTCCAGCCAGTACTATATAGAAGGTTGATCGGTAGGTTTCCATTTTCTAACTCACTCACCCTATGGAGGATTAAAAATATTCAGCCAGGCCAATAGGGACAAGGGAAAACACTTGGTATGCTGTTTACTGATATTAGGGCTGGACAGAGAAGGAAAAGAGCCTTTCACACAGTGTCTTTTAGCAGTTTCTGAAAGCAGCTGTGTCTTTCCCCAGGATCACGTGGTTGCCTTCTGCACGAGTAGTGTGATCCCAGGAAAGAAGCTCATTTGGCTTAAAATGTTGTAGGCAGATGTATGCATGCCCAAGCATGCCTTGGAGCACCTTTTCCCCTTGAAGCTGAAGCATTGCACAGTTCTATTTCCTACCACAGCAAACTGCTCAGTAGAAACAATGAAGATCCAGAAGGGGTGACCACCAATGACAGTGAGTTCATTGGGGTGACCACCAATGACAGTGAGTTCATTGGGGTGACCACCAATGACAGTGAGTTCATTGGGGTGACCACCAATGACAGTGAGTTCATTGGGGTGCCAACTTCTCTGTGCACTACAGAAGACCAAGATCTCTGCTGTTTTCAGCACAGATTCTGGAGGGCACTGGAAGCTGTGGCTATTGAAGATCCTCCCTCTAGTTCCCCAAATATAATTGTTTATCTTCCCATGCCTTTCTTTCCAATGGCCCCTATTCTAGTGAAGTGTATAGACATTGACTAACTTACAGACATTTGGATCATCAACAGACAATGTTGCAGAAAATTATGTGACTTGACTAACTTTGTCTTCAGGGCAAGGGGCATCATTTGAGAACTGTGATAATGACACAAAACAGTGATGTACTTGAGTAATAAGTCCCCTCTTAGGTAATGGGATGCCTTGCTTTGCAAAAATCCATTTATAAACTTTTACTGATAAGGTTTGGATTATTTGTTGCCATAAATGTTATATGTTTGAGCTGTGAGTAGAAAATTAACCCTCTAGATCCAAAGTGCAAACTATTTTTTAAAATGTCCACTGTGTGTACATTAGATTTTTTTAATATTTGTTTTTTTATTGAAGCAAACAAAACATCGAGTCCAAAACCACAAATAGCAAATAAGTAATAAACATATAATAAAAGCAAAAGCCACCCCCCCCCCCATTTTGAAGACAGATATAAAAATGTTGGACATAACATATTCAATATTTCTACTCTGATATTTGTACAGACAAAGGTCACCAGATAAATATTGAAACGAATTATATCTGCACACTGCATCCTAAAATATACTTGACTAAAGGGACAAGGTTAGAGATCAAATTAGTTGGATTTCCCCATCTTCTCTTTGCAGCAAGTGATGAGTCACATTTACGGGAAGATATTTATTTATTTATTTATGCATGCATGCCTTATTTGACCATAAGTTGCAATATGGCTAATTTTCTGATCCATACTTTACACAAGCTGAAGTTGTTTCAGTAAAAATGCTCTTATATATCACAGTGATTTAAGGCAGGTTTCCCTATCTGGTATCCTCCAGACAGGTTGCATTATCGCTCTGATATTTCCTAGTTCCTAACCAAAATGGTCAGTGATTGAACAGGCTGACTAAATGAGTGCTGATGATGGAAGTCATAGCCCATCACATCTGGAGTGCAACAGGAGGGCTGATTTTAAGGAATGAGTTAAACTACGTGCTTTTCCATTTTCCTTCACTTCTGTGGCTTTCTAGGCCCAATCCATATATTTCTTTTCAGTGTTTCTGTAAATCTGTAACGCTGGTGTTAACATTATCATTTATACAGAAAAGTCTTACAGTGTTCTATCCTCCCAAGCATGAGTATAAAACCAAATCCTAGTTCACTGGCATGTTGACTTTTGATTCACCTACCTATATCTCATACATAAAATATCATAAATGGATTTCTTTAGTAGAAGATGGTTCATGACACAAGAAATGCCCATTATAACAGCATTCAAACATAATCAAAATTCATAGTTTAGCATCATGTAAATGTACCCAGCTCCTGTGCCCCTTCCCCTCCCCCCAGCATAGCTATGAGGATTTCAGAAGCTTTTGCTCTTGTATTTGCTTAGTCGCTGCTTATCATGTTGTCTGAATCAGGAAATCATGGTTAATATTAACTAGTTTATTTGAAAGGAGCCAGCTTGAGACTTGGCAAGAGAAGCAAAAACATCTGCATGTATTATGGCTGTGGTAGATTTGGAGAAGGGCAGAAGACTGTCGGGTTCAGCTTTATCTGGGCTCCTTCACATCATGTTAAACTATTATTTTGGGCAGCCTTTCTCAACTTGGTGCCCTCTAGTACATTGAGATTACAATTTCCAGAATTTCCAGAATTCCTACACAAATTGATGATTCTGTCTGAGTTATATCTTATATTTGATCCTCTAGAGCAGGGTTTCTCAATCTTGATGACTTGAAGATGTGTGGACTTCAGCTCCCAGAATTTCCCAGCCAGCATGTCCACACATCTTCAAGTCGCCAAGATTGAGAAACCCTGCTCTGTACAAAAGAAAATCAATTTGTAATAACCCTGTTATGCAAAAATACAGAAAGCATACCTGTTTTAAAGCTACATAGATGAGGATTGTCATTCTAAAAGAAATATAATAAACAGTATAGCTTTCTCTCTAGAGCCTTGCCTAGACATCCTGTAAATATGGGGAGTACAACTCAACTCTGAAAAATTAAAATGTAATAACAACAACACTTTATTATTTTACATTCATGCTTCCAAAGGCTTCTGGGCCTTGGCTATTTGGAAATGTCCTCCAAGCCCCCATCATAGAAGGGGAAAGGTTTAGCCAGCATCTTATCAAAACTGTTCTCTCTCTCTCTCTCTCTAAAATTATGAGTCGCACTG